TGAGTTATATAGCTGTATAGCTTTATCTTGGTTTATTATTGGAAAGGTTTTCATTTGTGTGTCTCGCCCTTCATTACTTGTAACCAAACATCTGGTGAAATGATCATCTATATTAAATATAGGCATATATGTGTGTGTGTGTGTGTGCGAGTCTATATTAATATCAACACGCCCACGTGAGATCTGGACAAGGCTGACAAAGAAGATCGGAAATTAAAATAGATTGACACAAGGAAAGAAATACTTTGTCCTACAGTGTACACACACACACACACACACAGATGTACTTAACGCTATTGGAAGGAAGGGATGGACATGTTACTAACACACGAATTGATTGCATCTACTGACCGCGTTTTGAATTTAAATTGTTTGACCTACTTTATAGAAAAAATGGAATCTTACGATTTGTGTCTATTAAAAGAATAAATACAATATTTAGCAATTTTTTAAAAAGATTCAATGAGCAAATATTGACAGTGCGCAATATAAAAATTGTAACTCTGATAATGATGCCTCATCCCTCAATAACAGATTTATGCATTTAGTACTCACACCCTTCGCAATAAAAAAGATATGGGGTCAAACACAATGGCGGGTTCTGGTATATGTTACGTGTATCTGGAACGGCCTGAGAATTCTAGTATTACTTTCCCCCCTCCCCGCCCCATAAGGCATGTTAGTATATGTTGAATTAATACGGCCCACTTTATAACGTCCCATAAGGCATGTTAGTATATGTTGAATTAATACGGCCCACTTTATAACGTCCCATAAGGCATGTTAGTATATGTTGAATTGATACGGCCCACTTTATAACGCCCCATAAGGCATATTAATATATGTTGAATTGATACGGCCCACTTTATAACGCCCTATAAGGCTTGTTAGTATATGTTGAATTGATACGGCCCACTTTATAACGCCCAACCCCTTCCTAGCATCATTTGTTTTGCCCTTGAATTCTATCACTCATCCCCCCCCCCAAATCCTGGCTACGTTCATTCATATAAGAGCTATGGAGGAAACACTGCTCTAGTCTCTCTGGGTGAAGAAAGAGAAATAAAAATCCTTTCCCATTTTAGGCAACCTTAGAGAGAAACCCATTCAAAACTAAAGTCCACAAAACTGGTACTAAAAATGCCTCAAAAGGATTTATTTCACACAGGAATCTCAGAACCTAAAAAAAAGAAGCACTAACTAGAAAAAACAACAACTCTGGAATCCACTAAACAACACACAGTGAATCTCTATCTGGGACTCAAGCTCTCTTCCTTCTATAAGAGACTGTATGGAAACTATAACCAGATAATCTGGCTACATTCAAACAGAGCTCAAAGAAATAGTGAACTCTTTTCTATAAACTTATTATCTTTGCAATCAGTGGATCAGAGTTTAAACGGATGGTTCACCTCATAAGATAACCACACACGGAGAAGCTGGAATACTCATCGAATAGACCAATGGAGAAAAACATGAACAATCCATTTCAACTGGAAAGCTCTTCGATAGCCCCAGAGCAGAAAAGGAAGCACTAGAACTAGCAGCTACCACGCTGTAAATCCCTAATTACCCCGCATAGTCAGATAGTCTTTCAAACCGATGCAAAAATAATCCTCCAAAGCTTGGAAAACTCTGATTCCTCCTATGTGAAATGACTCAGGGCAGCACTTAGCAAGCTCAATAGCGACAGCAAAAAAAAAAAAATATTCAATGGATACCAGCATATATTTGAACTTGGAGGAAATGAGAAGGCTGATACACTTGCAAAAGCGAATTAACAAACACACAATTGAACATTGCACTCGATCCAGAAGAAATGAAGAAGCTGATTGTGAACAGAAGAAAAAGAAGAAATAGATAAGCTCTCATCTGAATCACAGGAGAGACGCCTATTACATATAAGTGATCCCTAGATCAACGTCTTATCTTTCGCTTCAGAACCGGGCACTACAGAATGAGACAGCATATGTTCCGGAAGCTCAAATTTGGAACTAGCAAAATCTGCCTTTGTGGAATGTCACCAAAGAATGCTGACCAGTTTCTTGAAAACTGCATTCTTTATCGAACAAGACAATGGTCCCAAAACACCACGACAGAAAGAAAACTATAGGCCTATGGAGAGCTACCGGATTTGGAAACCACTGCGCAGTTCATCTCATGTCGTCTGAACTCTGCAACATCAAAATAAGAACGAAGAAGAAATCAAACAAAAAATAAAGCAAACGACAGAAAACTAATGTCATGGTCGTAGCCAAATGGTGTGCGTGTGTGTGTGGGGGGGTGAGTTTAAACATCCTGCAGTTGTTGTTGTTGTTGTTTTTTTTGGCGTTAGAAACCCCCTCTTCAAGGGGCTTTTAAGTTTAAGCTCCATTTCAGAGGGTTTCTAATTGAAACCACTCGAGAAAGGGTTTTGAGTTTAAAGCTCACCTCCAGTGCGGTTTTAAGTATGAAACCCTCTCCAGTGGGTTTAAGTTTAAAACCCCCTCCAATGTGTTTTGAGGTTTAAATTTTAAAGTAAAGCAAATTATAGTCATCAAATTCTATGATCTTTGCCTAGAGTGATTTTGAAGTGAACACCCCGTCCCTTCCAACAAAAAGAAAAACAATGCTACAGTTCTTACATTTCATGGGCGTAGGCAAAAAGGGTTTTAATTACCCCCCCCCCCAATACAAAACTAAGGCAAAACTATAATTACCATTTTCTACCAGTGTCTGGGCTCCATTAAAAAAGTGTTCTGAATAGCAGATTTGATTTTTTGACTTACAATTTTTTAATTGAAGAGTAGCAGGATAATACACAGTGGACACCTCAGAATAAGCATTTTTTAGTTTTAATTACCGAAATAATGCTTGGTGCTGGGGGTCCGCCCGCACTGTTTTTTTTTCCTAATTTTAGAAAGAACTTATTCTAGGATACAATAGATCGCTAACTCGCGGAAGCATCTATTCTGGGGTACAAAAATACATCCGAAAGAATGAAGACGCAAACCAAAATATGAAGTAACAAATTAAAATATTAATTTCCAGCTAAATTTTCAAAAAATGTAGGTAGGTGACCTGTAGGTCTAGGCCTAAATACTTTTTTCGCTGTACTAAAATGTCGTTTGGGTGTGTTTGACGTTTGTTTGTGTCTGCATCTGTGTGTTCGCGTGTATTTGCTTGTGACTGTGTTTATGTTTGTGAGTTCGCTTGAGTCGGGTCCATGTATTTTTGTGTGTGTGCACATATGAGTGTTTCAACTTAATATCAAAGTTCTATATTCCCACACTCACATAAATAGTGCAGCACTATTTAATAAATAAATGTTACAGTCTCCACTAATTACTAGAAAGAGATAAAGATATTAGGACACCTAGTTCTTGTTATGTTTTTCATGTATATGCAGATTCAACAAGCCAAATTACAGAATGATAAACAGTATGAGAGTTGACTGAACAAAATGAAATACCCCCAACAGCATAAGATTAAGGAGGGTTGCGGTATTTCAGGTGACTACGAAGCTCTAGTTGCAGTGGCATCACTATGGTCATTAGGATCGGTGTCACCCTGTGCGGTTAGCTCAAGGTGTCACCACCATTCCCGCACTCAACATTGTCCAAACATTTCTCAATAACCACTAGCGTTAGTTTGTTCTAATTGCTGAGACACTACAGTGAGCTGATGACCTTCTCTCATTGATTGTTAAAATGAATGTCAATTCTATTATAACATTTCATTGTTCATGACATCTATTCAATATTTATTGCATATTTCACAATGCAAGTTTATTAAAATTAGAAACAATATTTTTCATCACTCGAAGATGATTTCCCTGCTAAACTTAAGGACGGAAACGGTATAACATGCTGAGTTGTTCCAACTTCGACTACCATCTAGACCAAAAAATTTACGTTTACAGCCCCTTAGCTATTGGTCTGAGAAAACGCTTAAAGCTCCCACAGCGTAGTGCGGTGGAGCCCTAGAGACCGAGCGCTTTTTAGCATTTCTGAACTATAGAAACTCTATGATGCTGACCTTTAGAAAGTCTTTCTATATAAATGCTGACCTTTAGAAACTCTATGTAACTCTACCTTGCACTATTTCTCCTCATCAGAAGACTGCAGGTCACATACAATTAAATTAAGGGTAAGACTGGCCGTGTCTGAAGTGTGAGTCATATGACTTCATCATAGGCAAATGAGCAGTGTTTCTCACACTTTTAGAGTTGGCACCCCACTAACGTGTTTTGTTTTTTTTCCTTTTAGTTAATAGTATTTTGTAGATAGTTTGAAAGTGTTTTGTATAACCGAACAAGTTCTCTCTGGAGATAGTATTAGAGAGGCATCAGGCAATGTAGTCCGTGGAATGGAAGTTTCATTAGCTCCGCCAAGAGATTTCTGCGTGCTGAACTTCATATAGGGCCAATGTGTGTATGAAGTAATTCCACTAATGGGAAATCAAAATTTAAGTCACGACCTGCTTAATATCACATAGAACCCCCACCTCATTTTTTGTTCCCTCTTGTTGAATCCTAAGACGTCATCGTAGACCCCCGGAGATTTCTATAGACCAGTTTGGGAAACACTGGTCTCTACTGTCCATGTCGTCATTCTGCAGAACATCGCTGTTTGACGTAAGAGAGGCTTGTGAAGTCACTCAGCAAGACGTGCTCTCCTTTTGTTTTCTTACTAGACATACTAGCAAACATATGGCTGAGTTCAGTTATACAGTCAAATAAGACTTTCCCTAGCTCACTCATATTGGTGAATTGTTCTAGCACTCTCATATTGTTAAATTTTAGTACCGTAGCATATTCCTTAATTCATTAGATCTCATATCGCTAACTTTCAATAGCTCTCATTTTATAAAATTGCTTTAGCTCTCTATAAATAATGCTAAATTTCACTAGCTCATTCATATTGCTAAATGTCACTCTCTCAAATTGCTTTAGCGCTTTCAAATGTTGCTCATCTCCACTGAAATGTTTGTCAATGTGACCCAACAGCAAGAACAAAGGTCGATTGAACAATGTTTTATTACATTTCATGACAATCCAACAAAAGAAAAAAAAAACAAAAAACATGAAAGCAATAGAGACAATGTTAAAAACATTTACATGAAGATTCATTTGATTTGTTCAGGGAATTTTTTCCATTGAATGTAAACTATAGTTTAAGCAATAAAATAGTGCTCATGTATTTCTATGTCCCACAATTTGTCAGGGCTAGCAAAAAAAAAAAAGGAAGAAATATTTAAAAGTTCAAGTACTGATACCCATTCATATTATTTGGCTTTAGATATCTTCAGTCACACATTAAAAAATTTCCATCATTGCTCACTTGCAAGGCTTTCAATATTGTAGTTTGAACAATTTCACAAATAAATAACATTCTCTTATTTTATATTATACAGATGTTAATTCAAAAAAGAAAATTACGTTCAATGCGTCATGCATTTAGTCATGCATATTAACCAATGACATAAATTCTGCCAAGTCACTGGTTTTCCTGGCTAGCTCAGGCAACACATTCCATGCTCTAATAGCAATAGGGAAGAAGGAGTATTTGTACAAATTAGTCCTAGCATTCTCAGGCTGTAAGTAGTCTTTTCTTGTAATGACTCTATTGTTTTCTATTGTTTATCCAGTGAAAGACACTAAAACAAAGAAGCTGAGAACAAAGTGGGCTAACTGCTTCTCTCCAGACCAGACTAAAAACATAAGAATTCTCTTGTTCCCATATCATCAAGAATCTCCCAGCAATCAGTCAACAAAAGTAAATGGTGTTGATATTGATGTATTAATGTTGCAAGCTAGTTTTCATTGATAATCAAATAATACCGGTACACATAATATTCAGTTCCCTTCCACAACTATATACTTATACTGTTTCCCAATTTTACGTGACACCGCAATAGAAAGCCAGGTAAAGCTAGCTGAATTAGAAGATATTTTTAAATCCTGAAATTCAAAATTCAACAGAAATGGAACTGGATCCCTCCTACACTTTCTCCACTCTGCCTCTCTCACAATTAAGCCCCACACGTATGAAATAATAGAGATGAGTTTGATATAATAACAAGTGTAATCAACCATATACACAGACACCATATACAGTGGTTTATATTTACTAGGTTATCATTTCCAATAATGTCAGATGGTAAAAGGTTACAAAGTAGGACATACTTTCTGAAGTTCTTGTACATTGTCTATCCAAAATGATGCATGTGACTGTAAGAACACTGATAATTTATCCATACTTTATAGTTTATATATACAGCAAGGAGTAGATATCTCTCAATGGTTAAAAAAAAAACAATAAGTACATCACAGCCATTTGTAACTACACTGTAACACTGCCAAGTGTGACCGATTCAGTAAACTAAACTCTACAAGCTTAAATGTTTGTTTCCAAACATACATCAAAATGAAGGCTTGAATAACATGCAAAGTTGAATCCTAAATACAGTGCTAAAGACTTGAAGTGTACTAATAAAAAAGTATTGCAGGGTAAAAGAAAAATGTACTCTGTCCTAATGGCAAGAAGGGGCACCACAGCTGACTCATAACACCTTCAACCACAGAAAGAAAACAGGGGCTAAAACATTGTAGCACAATATTTAATTTCATCCTTCTACTTTTTGTGTAGTCTCAAACACAAATCAGTCGATACAAACCAACCGATTTCTTTTCAAATAGAAAGCAATTGATACAAACCTATTTTGGAACTGGTTATCACCAATTATCGTGAAGAGTGCATGTGATTCAGGTTGAAAAATATCGAAGCAAAAAATAAAATAGCCCAGCTTTTTCATGCCCAGCGATGAAGCAAATAGTTCATAAAAAAAGAGTGTAAGTGTGAAGTGGATCTTGAGCATGAAATTAGAGGTTCTCAAAACTCTACATTATTCTGGTGGCCACACAAGACCTGCAGGTAATACTTACATCATATTACACACCTAGGTAGCAGAATATTGGTCTTTAAAAAAAAAATCTGAGCACTATTAAAATAAAAAAATATAAAAGAAAACAAGCCAATCAGGTGTGGAAACTAGTAATTGATTGTTCTAACAAAAAATGTTAAAACAAATCCTTGACCATAGGAACAGCTGTCTTGTTTGAATGAGAAAACTGTAGACACTCACTTTCCCAAGAGATGAAGAAACTTAATCAATAAATGTATACAGATATTCTTATCAGAACAATTATTATAAATGCCAAACATGTTTGTGTAATATACACAAATAAAGGTTGAACATCATTAGGACATCCATTCAGTATCCAAAATAAGTTTAAGTCATACATTATAGTCAAAAATAATTAAGAAAGAAAAACATAAAAATACATTTAAAAAAAAAAAAGCTTATACGAAATGTAGAGGTATCAATTAGTTTGGATCAATCATGTAATTAAATTTGTAATAGATCTAGACTAACAACAACGAATGTGTGCAATTAATGATATTTTTACCAATTGTTTTTGTTTAGCACTATTTTTAGCTTTCTCAAAATGCTATGATCCTATCCCTTTTATTGATCAGTTGGGAAACTGGGGGAGGGGGTTCTTCTTCTAGTCAGCTTTTTGAGGCTGAGCTGTCAGCTCTTTTGCAGACTGTGCCAAGGAAAAATAGTGTGCTGCTTGTGGGAGGGGGTAGAAAGAAAGGAATATCTTGGTAGATTTTACAGTAATTGGTTTTCAAAAGCATTTACAGAAAAAGAAAAAAAAAGGGGGGGGGGGGGGGGGGGGACTAGTGGCTAACGCCTACTTGGGCAGACGTGCTAACCACTTTGCTAGTGAGGTACTTATGACTAGAGAAGATTGTATAATAAAATATTGTTGTTTTAATTTACAGTGGCGACCTTTAAAGGGGGACTAATCCAGCTTAAACCACCACTTCAGTCAAGTACAATTTCTTTCTCTTGTTTGAGATAACAGACAAAATAATTAATTACCATTAGCTAATTGTTTTTTTTTGTTATTGATTCTTGTGTTGGCATGTAAAAAAAATAATTGTGCAGAATTTCAGCTTCATCTGATATTAGGAGTTATAATAACATACAAATTCTTTACCAGACAAAGTGAGTTGATATATGCTTTGTAAAAGATATCTAATGTTTCATATAATTATATGTAAGTCAGTTCTTTCATATAAACTTAGTCAAACTCCTATTATCATATAAGTTTTTCTACAGGCCCATTTTTTTTTAGTGTTAACTCTGAAGGATCAGTTCAAATAAAAGAGAGCTACCCTGTGATATTTTATTGAATCAGTTATACAATTTTCATTGCATTTCACAGCTTTTATAATTTATTTTTTAACTCCCCTTTTAATGACAGGCTTAAAGATACATTGCACTGACTGATCTCAGGTAACTCACAGTACACTAACTGATCTCAGGTACAACAGTTCAAACACTGACATACCCATTAAAAAAAACCATGAAACTAATGTAAAATCTATAATACATAACCAGGAGAGTAGATAAAATCATGAAAACATACTATGTATCTCCTAAACTTATGAGGCTTCAAATTTGGTACCGGTAAGAGGAGTTGCAGTTAGCCAGAAACATGCACTTCATAAGATTTAATCAACTATGGGTTGTCTGAATGCTAGAAAAAAAAATTCTCTGCTATCAAGAGGTTTTAAAAGTTAATAAGAAAAAATCTCTAAAAGCAAGACCAATTAAATGTCTTACTGGTTTAGAATATTTTTGTTAACAAAGCAAGTTTAAATAAAATTTATCTTTACTCTAACTAGTTGATCATTTTATTTCTTCTTAAAAATTGTTCACTAAATAAAAAAAAAAAAAGAAGATAAAACATACAATAAAACAAAATAATATCAGTCTGTGTCTGGTTCAACACTTCAATGGAAGCAACAAACAGTAGTGTCTAACATAATGAGCATTTATTCAGTTGCATTGAACTGGTTCACAGACCTAACCAAAACTGTTATCTCAATTGTTGGCATTAGTAACAAAAAAACAACAATGACACAAAAATAACCACTCCTGGCATATGAGAAAGAGAGGATAAAAAAGCAGCAACAAATGTGGCAAAAAAAAAACACCACAGTCTAGCTGAGCTTCTTGATCTTAATGAACTAATCAAAATGACTTTCTGGAAAAGCCTGGTTGAATCTTCAAAACAGCTTAAGAATAATGGTGTCTAAAAGGGACAGACAAAACCACTAGAAGGCTTTATTTGATGCTGTTGCCAGTTTGTTAGTTTAGCCAAAGCTCACTTGATAAATTACTGTAAATAATACTTTTTCTTTCCATCATTATGTTAAGACTATTAATTAACATGGAATCAATGAAGCAAGCTGATGCAGTTCAAGCTGTTAATATATCTAATGACTTGTCATGATCTAAGTCTGTAGCAATCAAAGCTTCTTTAATTTTATCACCGCTAAATCCCAGCTCCTCAAATAAACTCAGCAATGACAGAAATTTCTCAGCCTGAAATTTAAAAAACAAATGTTTAGAAAAGAAATGAAACACACAAAAAATGCAATGAAAACAAACATTGTTCTCAAATTTCTTGTAGTCTAAAGATAAATATTTCAAGTATTAATTTTATTGCTATTGAATGTACATCATTTCACCACATGATGAAAATGTCCTTGACACACTCTTTATTTATTTTGTCTCACATATTCAACAGCATATTATATTTCTAACTATACATTTAACACTGAGTATTATGTTTCTGACTATATTTGAAAAAATTATTTTTTTAAAACAATAAATATTTTTATAAATCTTATCTCAAATTAAAATACCTAATGTAAGATAGATTTTTTTCACCACTTTTTTTTTTAAGTTAGGAACCTTGACAAAGAAAACACAAATGTCCAAAAAATAATATTTTTCGAGTAATTTAAAAAAAAAAAAAAATACTTACAATTTAATATGGTCAAATATTATTATTTCTTATTTAAATTAATTTGATCCCCTACCCCCCATATCACTACTTTGAAGTAATGGTATGATAAAAAACTGTTCAGAAACTTACTAGTAATATACACATATCTTATTTACCTTGACCATGTCATTCTTACAATTTAATATGGTCAAATATTATCATTTCTTATTTAAATTAATTTGATCCCCTACCCCCCATATCACTACTTTGAAGTAATGGTATGATAAAAAACTGTTCAGAAACTTACTAGTAATATACACATATCTTATTTACCTTGACCATGTCATTCTTACAATTTAATATGGTCAAATATTATCATTTCTTATTTAAATTAATTTGATCCCCTCCCCCCCATATCACTACTTTGAAGTAATGGTATGATAAAAAACTGTTCAGAAACTTACTAGTAATATACACATATCTTATTTACCTTGACCATGTCATTCTTAAAAGTTTGTAAGGCTGATTCAACAAAGACTGGGGCAAATTTTTTCTCCACCAACTGATCCACTGCCAACAAATGATCCAGAACCTGAAA